ATCCAATGGAAGCGAATGGGCCAAGATGAGTGATGCCTTCTCGAGACTTGTGAGACGGTTATTGTCGAGGGAGATCAAAGGGCCTGATCTCTTCAAGGTCCCTGCACCACTGGCCCACTGGGCAACGGGAGTTTGGCCACTTGCTTTCTATGCGAGGAGATCGAGAATCTCGGCATTGATATCTATGGCAAAGGCGGCCCCACCGGTGCTATGGGCGGCGGTCCAGAACGAATCCAGCTGGAAGGTGCAAATGTGTGAGGACCTGCGATGGCTGGCTGAGGGTGACGAGCCTAATTGGCCACAGGTCAATGCGGGGCCAGGAACTCTCCTCAGCATGCCAAGGATCTTACACAACGTGAAAAACCCATGGCAGCACCTCTTGAGGGAGTCGTCAGCGTCACTCCAGACGAAGAGTACAATGAACTGTTGCAGGACCGGCACGAACTTGAGCAGCTGCTTTGACCGGGGCAGTCTTCTCCTCTCGCTTTTTCGTGAGAACTGACCTGGCATCCGCGCCAGCAAATTGCACTGGCCAAGGGAGACGGAAAGATTGCACATTGTTGCTCGGGATAGCCCTTGTCTCGGAGGCGGCCTAGCAGCAACCCAACCGCGGAGGGCTGTTGGGAAGAGTGGATACCTCACAATTGAAGAGTTTGAGCCTAGCAGGCACGAGTTGGCACACACCTGGGAACGAAGCCCTCTGGCACAATGGCCTGATCTCCCTGGAGCTGCTCAGCAAGAGAAACCAGGGCTTTCACAGGGCTGACATCGACGGAGTCTCTAGGAAGGTTCTGTCGAACGATGTGGCCTCGCAGCTCCCTCATCTGTTGTCGCTTGTGCAGCGGATGGGCAATGCGACCCTGCAAAGGGCTGAGCATGAACTGCAATTCATGCGGAGGCTGTTTGCCCTGCTCTCTGATCCTTCTCATGCTTCGCTTGTTGTGCCTTCGTCCCTGCAGGGCCAAGCCTTCTCCGTTGGGCGTCCTATGCGGTTTGCCGCTTTGTGGCGTGCCGTGTCTGCTTTAGCGGTCTCCAATGTTCGCGCACCGATACTGGATTGGCTGCCCTGGAAGGACGGGAAAGGCTGTACGAAGAGGAGAGTCTTCCGCTCACTTGTTAATCCGGCCCCTGTGTCGGTGCTGCTTCCTGCTGGCAGCTATGCCATGGCCAGGCCGGAAACTGCAGATGATGTTCCGGTATAGCCCAGAGACCCCCGCAACACACACCTCATGTTGAGGATTGTGATTTCACACTCCTCGGCCCTCAGGCTGATGCCAGCATTGAGACCGCATCAGGCTTGGTCGGCTGCCTTGCCCTATAACCCTGCCGAGGAGGATCCCACTGACCCAGGTTGGTTAGGTGTCTACCTCTTCACGCCCCATTACCAGACGCAGTCACCCGCTGTCAAGAGCAGGGAGCGCACTAGGCAGGCCGTGATGGATCTGCTAGTTCAACAATTGGTTGGGAGACAGGGCCCATTCTTTGACACCATCCTTCCGCTGCGGCCTCAAAGGTTTGGGGGGTTCGGATCCTTCATATTTTTCTCTGGCACGACCCGACACTCTGGGCCCGGTGGTTTTGTCGCTGTTGTCTTAAACGTAACGAGGGTCGGGGGAAGGTACTCTGCGTCCCCAGAAGACGCATGGAGGAACTATCTGTGCCTGACGCAGAATGGGGCCTATTGCACCAGTTTCCGGCTGTTGAACACACTGACTCGGTCTGTGTATACTATTTCAGAGATCGATGTTACTCTCTGCCACACCGTTTCCATTATGGCGAGAATGTCGTCCAATTCGCCTCCAGGAGATTGGGCATTGACCCACATCGTACTGTCATGTGTTCCTTTCCGACACAAGACCTCGACGTGCAGGGTGACCTTTGCACGCCCTTGATCGCGGTAGTTGAGGTGCCATCTCCTGCTGAGACCGGGGTCTCCCGCGATAGGGCGCATGATGTTTTTGTCTTAGTAGACCTATCATTAAGAAGAAAGCCACCGCCGGCAAAACGGTCCACAGCAAAGCCCCCCCTTCTGGTATCAATTCGCCTGAAAGGCTGCCGACGGAAGAGATCCCTTTCTTCTGAACGAAACGGAAAGCTTCGTGCGGCTGCACAGCCCAAGCACATGGTTGCTGGGGCACGAGTTTTGGGAGAAAGTGGTTGCCGAGGTGAAAGGATCGAACTGAACCAGGTTGTCCGCTTCAGATATGCCAGGGTCACATGCGTTGCATGAATGTCCTTTTTAATGGAGCCACGTAGAAAATAGTTTGATCTTTAGGCTCATTGTTCAGCGAAGCTTGCCTACTGCGCAGAAGCTGTGGGGCCAAGTGAGTGCAAGATAATGTTGCACAAAGATTCGTGGCCCTCTGTGAAGCAGGCAGACAGCATCATGAGCGAGCGGCGAAAGCTGGTGCCAACTCTGCCAAATGGACAAGAGCTTCTCATGATTCCCCAGGTCCAGACGTGCATGTCGTATGGCGACACGTTGATGGCTGCATACACTCTGAATGTGACCTTGCCAGGCGAGGGTTTCAAGAAGTACAGAACATGCCAGTCTCTCGCGCATGATGTGGACCTCATCTTCGACGGGATCTTGAAAGCGGAGCTGAATTCCCCATGGTCGGCACATCCGGTCACGGATTCGCAGGGTTCATCGCAGTCAAAAAATGTTGGAGCACAGAGGGCAATCGTGCGAGGGCTCAGCTCGGATGCGACAATGAAGGATTCGGCGCTGATGCTCACGGAAGCCGGCTTTGCTGTGGGGCAGCATGTTCGCCGAAAGGCAGATCAGGAGAGTGGCATGTTGGTGGCCATCGAAAGTGGTCGTGTCAAGTTGAAGCAGCCATCAGGGTCCCTAGCGCGGGCGTCGATCGATAGCTTCCTTGCAGGGCATTGGCAGTCTTCACTTAATTCACGAAGTTTGTAGCTCCAACTTCATCCGTGACTTCGTTGTGCCCTCCATCTCCCAGCTTTGCCAGCATGGAGCACGAAGATCCACAGGAATCCGTTCCCGAAGAGGACACGTCGCAGCCGACGGTTGTGACTCGAGAGATCGTCCTGTACGACAATGGACAAACTTGGATCCCTGGGCAAAAAAGCCGAGGGGGCCCCATGGTTCAAAGTGGCCAAGTGGGATCGAGGATTGTTTCGGTTCGTGTACGGCAAGGGCTTGGATTTGAGGGCAAGGAAAGACAAACAAGAGCTGTCACTCGACACACCTTTCTTCGAGACCATGTTGGCTCATTGTCAAGCGGCATTCAACGAGGCTGTCTCCGAAAGACTCAAGGATGAAGAGAGTGACGAATCACGTGGGACAAGAACCAGAAGAAGACCAAGAAAATCAAGGAGTTCAAGACTACACAGGAGCATGAGCTTTATGCACCCCACACCATTCAGACTGACTTGCCCGGCGGGGCCAAGGATAGTAATAAGTCCAATGCCGATTTCTGTTCGAGGGCATGGGCACTCGGACTATTTGGCTGGAACTGAAGGACGATGCCGTGATGTTCATGGATCATTACATGAGGCAGGGTCTGGTGCTGCAGGCATCCATCACACCATTTCCGAAATTTCCCATCTTTGTCGACCTCTCTGTTCTTATAGCGGATGATGTTTCCCTGAAACAAACAACTGAAAGCAAAGGGGCATCGGGCGCGGTCGTCTGCATGAGATGCGCGAATGTGGTTGCTCATCGAAGCCGGCTACAGGACCATGGCGATGTTATCCCGTCGACATGCACCGAGTTCGCGAAGCTTCGTTTGCACACCAACCGCTCGGTCAGTGATATCATGGGGTACCTCTCTTCCCAACATGGCACAGTTTCCCAGAAGGAGTGCAGGAGCTCCGAACAATGGAAAAAGCTCTAGGGTACAGCTACATGCCGGCAGGCCTCTTGTTGTCGAATGTAGGGCACAAAATTCCGGAGATGATCATGCTCGACTGGTGCACATTTACTTGGTCCACGGTATGGCCGGTAACGAGGTTGGGTCCGACTGAAGTACTCGGAGTTCCACTTCTTCGCTGCAGGGCTCAACTGCGATGGCAGTCACTCGTGCATCAAGCCGCCCGGCAGTGGCGATATCGGACAAGAGCTCATGGACATCGATGGGGTTCACCCTCGAGCCGTCCCTATTCAAGGGTGAGATGCCAACCATTGATGGTTTGAGCTGGAGGGTGTAGATGCGGCCGTGTCTCTCGAGGATTGTCAGGACTTCGTGCACAATCGTGCACAGTTTTCAACAGCCTGTCCCGTCCTGGGCCCCGGCTTGGAGCAAAGTGCACTGCTGGACCGCCATTCTCGTGAGAGGACGTGTGCGGGAAGTTTCATCTGTGAGCTTGAAACGAAAGCTTCCAGGCATGTACATGCAAATGAAAATGTTTTCGCAACCTGCCTGCGAGCAACATGCACTGCCGACGACTTCCTACCAGATGGGCATATGCTCCAAAGCACTGGAAGGATATTACATCCACCTGTATAAAATATGATTGCATGGAAGATGCAAGCATCACTGCATGCCTCAGATCACAGCATTCAGGCCAGCAAAACATCCTCTTTCACGATTGCATGCTCGGAACATTGGACTCATCACTTGCAAACGAAGCGAGCGGGGGTGGGAGCACCTTTCGATGCCTTCGACGTCGGCAACCACCAGCAGCACCGGCCTGCAAATGCTTTGTCCCGATGAAATTAGGGTACTTATATAGGTACTTATAATGATTTAGATAACCGGTCTAACTTTGTCCAAGTAGTTGTCTTCCAAACACAGCATTTGTCCTAACTTATTTATCAACATGTCACGTGATTAACGACTCCGGCAAATACTTAGAATCATTCTTGCCATTTACTAAGTTCCAAAATACACTTACCCAACATGATGCACTTATAAGTCAAGATAGCCTATAAAGTTCATTTGCACGGTTTACTAACCAGCGCAACTCGCCTATACGGATACCAAGCAAGACGGTCTTTCAAGTAGGCACAGTCCTTTGATTTCCCGACCGAGGCGACCTTCAAGAGCCTGGCGCGATGCCTCCGTGCTACCCTCGATGCTTTCAGCGGCGCCGGAACTCTGGCGGCGACGCCTTGGGCACCGCGGCGCGGCGGGAAGCAGCGGAGCACGAAGGCACTGAGTAACAACCTAATTCTGGCGGTGAGGAGTGTTGCGGAGACGGCTTCACTTCGTATCTGCCAGTCGTGTGCCGACCAGCAGTTTGCCGAACTCGGATAAACTGCACCGGATCCTGGCGCCCTGCGGGGTCTTGGGGTTTTGCGGTTGGAAGTCCGGCATCTCAAACCGTGAACGCAGAATTACGTGCCGCACCACTGCAGGAGACAAGCATTGATGTTTCTCTTGACCTCGATGCAACTGCTGATGCTGGCGCCAAAGGGCCACTTAGCATGAAGAGACTTGCTTTAAGCTAACCGTGAAGCCGCAGGATGCATACAAGAGTGTAGCAAGCAAAGGGCCATGCACCGTGTGCATATATGCATATCCATGCAGCAATGTAGCAGCGCCTACGCGCACACACCGTCAACGCAGAGGGTTACGGCCCTTGGCTACGAGTCTCGTTGGAATGCGACAGATGTTTGCAGCACCAGAAGGAACTTTAGCTGCCGATTACTGCAATTCTTCACAGCTCGTCTTTGGTTCCCAACTCAGTTTTCTATCCTATGCAGCCTATACCTCACGCTGAAGCCCCAGCACACCGGCTACCCTCTTGGCAATGCCTTTTGGACATTTTGCGCCTCCTTGTCAGGGATGTCGTGATTTTTGTTGTTGTCCTTGTCGGACTTGTTGTTGCTTCCTGAGTTGAAGGCGTGCTGAACTCCTTTTGTGGCAGACCCTGTTCTGAGTTGTACATCTGGTTTATATACGTGCGTACCACTAGAGTCGCTAGAGAATTTAGGTCCTCGACACTCAATCTGAAGCCACTTTGCTTGGAGATTCTAGAGCACGAAGCCGACGCCACTCCAAGACTGACCCTGAAAGCCTTGACATAAACCCTGCACAAGAAGGCTTTGCACTGGGCTCAACTTCTTGGACGCACTGCTTGCACGCCTGCGGGTGGCTTCTGGCATCGAGCTGCGTGCCAGCTGTCGAGGCTTCAATGCAGGGTTTGGTTTGGTTCGGATCTTGGATATAGCGCTGGCGCTTATTGATGCAGGGTTTGGCACATATTGGATCTAGGCTTTGAAGGCCAGATGAGGGACGGTACAGAGCACTTTGATATTGATTATGATCATGCATCTTCTTGATCTGCCCCGCATACTGTCTCTTTACAGCCGTGCTAACCATAGGCTTACCCCGGCACCCAACATTGCTATGATTGAGTGCTGCTGCTGATAGTGTTGTTGCTCGGGCTCTTGCTGCTTCTGTTCCTTGTTGTTGCTGCCGTTGTTGTGATGGAGTTTTTGCTAGCGCTACTCTTATTGCTCTTCGCGCAAATACAAGCACGGCTACTGCGGGCTTGGCGGTGCTCTGATGTGATGCATGCTCGCGGCCTTTGCTTTGCTGTGGATGTTGATGGGCAGTGTCATTACTCTGCTACCCTTGTACGTGCACTGTGCACTTTGATTGCTTTTGATAGCAACGAGGCTGCTGCACTGAGGTTGAGCCTGAACACGTTCACCAAAGTTCCACCATTAGTTCATGAACCTTTACCTCACATCCTGAAGTTGAATTCCTGAACCCTGAGCCCTGAAACGGTCCATGGTACTGGAGCCGTGTATTCACAATCAGAACGTCAAGGCGACAGTGCGAACTGCAAACCCCTTGTGTGCGCAGGAGACACCTGGATCGACGACCATCACAGCACTGAAGACGTGATGATTACGGTGGGCTGACTACCAGTATTAGTTTTGCATGCTTGTAGGGCCTTAGAACCTTAAGAGACTTCTCGAGGCATAACAGACTTCTCCGGGGAACCATGCCCTCCAAACTCGGTGCAGGTGTTTGCACCGGAGATCGGCAAGCTGAGAGTCGTAAGATGGAGTCCCGACCGCTCCATTCCCTACAATAACATGAACTCCGAAGCCCGACAGCGCAAACCAGGGCAGCAGGGATCAGCTACGTGGGCATGAGAAGACAGTCGCACTCTGCGACTGTCAGGAGTAGATCCGGGGTTGGCTGGGTTTTGGTCTGTTTTTACATCACGCTTCAGCCACGAAGCCGCTTCTTCTGAAGGTCGGCAAGGCTTTGGCGGAGGCGCTGGGCGACAAGGAGTCCGGCCCCGGGCTTTGGGCGTAGGATTCACAGGACTGGGGTGCCTTGCGCAAGGGTTTTAGGCAGGTCTTGCGGGTGTTCCCTACTCTGCCGAGTCCTTGATTCGGCCAGGCTGGCTGCACGCGAATGGCTTGGGCCGAAGGCCGTGAGGGTGCCGCGCAGGCGCGGCCGCCTGAGCCCGGAAGTCACAGGTCCCAAGCGCTTGCCTAGCCGACATAGCCCTTCCACCCGAATCCATAACCAGATCCCATCCGGGAAGAAAGAAGCTGGACGCCGAAGGACCGTGGATTCCGATGGCACGCATCCGGAAGCGGCGAAAGCCCCAAGACTCCACAAAAAAGACCAGCGGTTTTCCGATCGTGTACCATGGTACCTTCTGGGTCATGCCACAGAGCCTATGGTTCGGAAACGGCAGGTTCTCTGCGTGATGGACCTCTCCAACCGGCCGAGCTTCTGCTTCTTGGTTCTGGGCAAAGGCTAAAGAGTTGGACATTGGAACGTTTCTGCAGGACTACCTAGCTTGCACTCTGGATCGCATGGATGGATTCATAGAAGCCGCCAAGCCCGTGAAACCCCAGATTCAAGAATCTGTCATTGTCTTGATAAGCGTCCTTCTGCCAACAGTGCTGCATCTTTCGGGTTTCCTCGACCCCAAGCCCCAAACCTCCCAGCCTTAAATCCCGGAGCCCAGCAAGCCTCTGAAGATCCGAAAAGGACCCTAAGACCGGACAGAAAGTCCAATGACTTGAAACCAAAGTCCAAAGCGCGAGCTTTTCTTCCCAGGCAGCGATCTCCGTCTGCATGCCAGAGACGAAGAGTTTGTCGACGACGTGTCTGTGGAGAGCCTCGGATGGTTTCTGGGGGGGCCAGAATTTCTGGTCTGAAGTCACCAGTTACCAGCACCAGATTCCTAACCGCTTGTGTGCTCAACGAACTCCAGGCCGAACAGCTTCAACCCTCAGAAAGAAACGTTTAACATGATGCCCCAAGTGGAAGCGGGCTGAGAAGGATTTGCCGCTCGTCCTTCGAGTGGAACCTGTAGGGAAGTCGACGCCTTCTAGTAACTCCCAAAGCCCGCAGCCTGAGCGGCTAGGCTTCGCACGTGTTTTCCGAACTGAGCGAGCCTTTGGGTTGGGGATTCAGTCCACTTTGGGGGAGCCTTCGGACCGTGCTGTGGGCCCTGCCGCAACTGTAAGGTTTCAACCTAACTACCCTTCTGCAACCCTAAACAGTGAACCCGGAACCCTAAGCCCGGAACCTTAAATCCCTCTCCGAGCCCAGCTGCCTCTCAGGATGATCCACCATTGCTTCGAGTCCTTTGTGTGGGGCTCAGGCCGTGGCTTTCCTTGACAGGGTCTCAGAGTTTGCGACCATACAACCTAGTGACCTAGTACTGCACCGGCTGCACCGGGCGTCTTGAGAGCCGCTGAGGTCATGAATGCTCTGATGACCGTCCACCTGCTGCAGGCGCAATCGTGACCTGGGCAGGTTCAGGATGTCGTGGTCGAAGGTGCAGAGGGGGCAAGGCACGCAGCTCCGTGTGGGTTTGCTTGCGTTAGTTCCTGTCTATGTCAGACCAGTGGGTAACATGTCGTTTCAGGAAGACTAGCAGCGATTGCTTTCCATGTTTGGGTTGTGACCTTCTCCAGTCCGAAAAGACAAGAGAGCCGGCATGAGAACCGCAGAAAACCAACCCTCAACCCTCAATGGGAGACGGCATGACAAAGCTTTTACACCGTACCTAGGCTTTTCCAAATGCCTCGTTTTTCGGGTTGCCGTGAAGCAAACTCCAGGATTGAAGGGCTGGCTCGTGAGGTAGAACACGAACACAGGCTTCGTGACTCTGCCGCTTTTGATGACCAGTGAGCTGGCGATAGGTTCGTTCCAGCATCTGCACCCTTCACCCGAACCCGCTTCCGAAGCTGGACCAGGCTGTCCCAAGTTCTGAGCCTCAACAGCAGGTGCCCAGCGCCGAGGCCATCCCCGCGCGGGACGTCGCCTTGGCGGCTGCCCAGGCACTCCAGTCCAGGACTGTCAAAGTGTGGAGCAGGTTCAGGGAGGTCGGGCACATTGCAAACTTGGCCGTGATGAGCCAACAATCCAAGCCTGGAGGAAGTCATGGGAATCCGTGCCAGAAAACAGGAATGCTGGCCGTCTACCACCCGCGCTGAAAGCACTAGCAGACGTCCACGGCCAGCATCGAAAGCAAAAATATAAGCATGTGAGTTCGGCCTTACTTATGACGGTGGATGTTGTCGCATCTGCTTGCCTTAGACTTTTTCCTCATGACACGATTAGCGACGCGCTAGACCTGTCGGAAGCACATGCCGACCTACACAGTGCACTCCACCTGTCCATAGATGATAAAGCCGCGAGACTCATGTATTGGAAGATTCCGGGCCAGGCAATGGGTGCAGCGCTGAAGCAGCAGCTTGAGAGCACTTTTTACAGGTTACTGCCGGCCTCGAAGTGTGGCATCAGCATCCAGCATTGCGGGTTTCGCTCCTGCAGCTCCTGCAGAAGATAGTTTCTGTCTCCGATTCAGAATCTCAAAGGTTGGGAAAGGGTGTAATTGACATGTCTGCTGGGGTTCTCCCCTCCTATCTCCTCATCTCTTGGTTCGCATCTTCTGACCCTCGTTCACGGCAGTGCCCCCAACCCTCTCATGAACCCCCTAACAGATGAGGTCGTCCCGGAAAAGAGTACAGGACGCAATGCTACTGGGTTTCAGTGTCAAAGGTTGCACAACATTTTCTGGGGACGAGGGCAAGCAAAATGCATGAACAGAGGGCCAAGAGTGTTAACACCCTAAAGAACCAGAAACGTCTAGTAATGTAGCCGCCTAGCCTCCACTTCGGGTCTGCTTTCAAGTCACTGAGCAGACGTGATCATGGAGAAATCTCCGGATGTCGCGGACAAATCCCTTCCCAAGAACGATTCTCAAACGTAACCCCGAGAGTGTAGCCTTAAGGCTTCCCGAAACTCACAAGGCCACGGATGGTCTGATTTCGTTTTACACGGCAGTCCAGGCTGTGCGACACGAGAAGTAGGTCCAGCTTTGCTTGGTCGCATATGCGACACACGTGGTGTACCATCCCGAAAGGACAGCGCAGCAATGCCCAGCCACGACTAAAGATTTGCATGTCCACCTAAACCCGTCTGCCCAGGCCACACCGCAGCACAGTCAGCAGCACTGGACTAAAAGCGCGATCCCGATGGCAGCAGACCAACCGCCCGGAAAACCAAAGGAACAACCGACAGGAGGAAAAGAGGTGCCAAAAAAAGAGGGGAGAAACCCAAACCAATACCGGGGACCCACGATCAAACACACAACGAAAATGCCCAGGCGCTCAAAAGCTTCGTGCCCAGAGGCTTATCGTGGTGTTGGTGTTGGGTGGCATCTGTGGTCGTGCATGTAGTTCTGCAACTTTTCTTCTTTCCGGCATCTAAATCCCGACATGTAAATCCGAAACCCGTCTCCTTAAACGTCAATCTAAACAAACCGACACCCTAAACCCAACAACCCTAAATCTCACAAGACACCGAGGTGCATCGCCTTGGATCCTCGCAGGGGCGGTGTGACGGCCAGCTCGAAGGGGACCCTGTCGAAGTAGTCCCGGACGAGCGAAGCGTAGGATTGTTTACCAGGAGCCAGTCCGTGCTCTGAGCTGAAAATGGCCGGAAGATCTTCGCCTGGGGGTCCGAGTGGCTCTGGAGGAGAGACGTTCGACTTTCGCCAAAGTGCTTAAGCTTAAACCCCTTCAGGAGGCGAGTGTGGGGCTGTGCTAGGACTTGAGGGATTTCGAGCGGCGAATGTGGAGAGACCGCGATGGTAGTCCAAAATGTGCACCGCACCAGAGCAATATCTAGGGATCCGCACCAGGCGCTGGGCGCGCGGCAACACTAGCCAATACCTCTTACTTTCAGCGAAAAAACCTCAGATTGAGTGATACGACTTTGTTTGGGGCACGACACATCAGCGCAAACACTGCGTGGGTCCGTGCTCATGACATGATGTGCGTATCTCGTCAAACTCCGCGGTGCGTTTCCTTCAGAGAAGGGGTGATTCCATTACAGTATCAAGTTAATGTGACTACAGCAGCATGACAATGAAGGTGAAATGAAGCTGGTGTCATGAAATATCTGGATTTGCTCATTCCAGCTCGCTTGCATGTTCGTTCCGCCATGGGCCGGTGGGCACTGCGACAGGCTCGCCTGGCAGGTTTTTTGTTTAGGCGAGGGTTTAAGCAACATGTCCCCGTCACGCAATCTTTTTGCCCGCCTTCCCCAGACTGCTCTTCCTCGCGACTAAAACGCCAGCTAACAGAGATCACGTGCTGCGAAGTTGGAGACGGTGGCGGTGCTGTGGCGGTTTCCTACTCCTGTGCTGAACTGTTGCATGCATGGCCTGGTTCGAGCTACTTCAAAGAAAGCTCTGAAGCAGTCCTGGGCGCCTACGGTACAGAACAAAATTGTAGCCATCATTCTTTCAATATCTTTCAGCAGGAATTGCTGTACTGTTCAAGTAATGGTGCCATCTGCAACCTGCGGCGCGTGCATGTGCCCTTCATCGCCTTCATGCCTGCAACGGCATCGACAGCAAACTGCGACAAGAACCACCTTGGATGCAGCTGATGGGCACTTGTCCGACAGCGCATGTTTCTCAGGGCGACCCTCATGACAAGCAACCAAAGCGACCCCACGTGCATTCAGACATAGCTACACCTTCATTTTTGGTCACATCAACCAAAACCTGGATAAATTCTGCAGCTACCAACGTGACAAAAGACTTGCAGGCTTAACAGTCTTACGAGTAGCTGCCATTCGAGAGCCACATGGATGCCTTGTTGACACATTCTGAAGCAGGTTTTCAGCCACACCACAAAATGACACGTCGCTTCCTTATGTCTAAGCTAGATATCGTTCTTCTGTTGGTGGGCATCAACATGCTTACGACATCTCGCGGACATCCATTTTGCTGCTGTCCTGTCGCAATGCGGACAAGTCAGCGACAATCGTTGCTGCCGGTCTCCAAAGGCTTGGGCGCACGCAGCAGAGCTCAAAGGGACAGGCTGCAGTCACCACGGGGAGGTTCACAGAGCCAATAAGCGCGACCGTGATGTAGGCAGAGCAGCCGTCCACGTGCAGCTAGCAGCTAACCCCTCATTGCCACTCCAAGAAGAAAAACTGGCTGTAACGCCAGCGGCAAAGCCGAAATCCAGAGAGATGAAGGCCACCGGCGGATGACCTCACCAGCTTGTCCTGTCTCTGCCCAGAGCCAGAGGAAAGCCGCGTGTTCAAGGAGGCTGCCCCTGGGACAACCTGTAGGAGTAGCCTGTGGACGTGAACTCGGTTGGCGTGCCCAAGCAAGCATGAACTCCACAACGTCCTCTGCAACCTTCGCCACGTCGGCCACGGCCGCTTCGAAGATCCTCCTGACCGAGGAAAATTTGGTTTAAGTGGGGTTAGGGCGGTTGGGGGTCTCGCTGCTGAACAGGGAGCCTCCGGTGTCGTTGCCGTCTTCCGCCCCAAATCCATCTCCTAGCATGAGGGAATATGCAGAAATCCGGGATGCTTGATCTGTCGCTCACTCTGGAGTCTTACAGGCTCTCCTTCGGCACCTGCGACGCCGTCTTCGACGACGGCCACCTCCGTCTTGAGACTCTGACTCCAACTCCTCGTCCTCACCTTCGGACCCTACCAACTACACTTGACGACACTTTTACGCAGGCACCTCGAACAAAATCTCCAGAATAGCCGTTTTACTCGGTATTTACAGCACTCAGTACCTTCGTGATTTCGGACCATCGTCTGTGCTCACCAAACCTACTTCTGGACTTTGCGAACCCGACCTCAGCAAAAACTCGAGAGTGGGTGGAGGGAAGCTTTTCGGGGATGATCACGACACAATTTCGCACACACCCCTCCACACCCTAGTGCACACACACCGCGCACCCTTAAAGCTCAGACCTCGGTCAAAACTTTAAGGAGCTCGGCCTAAGCCCATCTATAATGCCATCATCGCCTTCCACGCCTGTAGCAGGAAGGCAAAATAGACACCGATCACGATGCCCTCATCCACGAGCATTTCCAATGCTGCATTGCAGTTGATTCACCAGGGAGGAGGTCCCTGGCTTTCTGGCTGCACTGTCATGGACAACAACTGCATGGCCGCCGAAACCGACACTTGAAAGTAGGAGCGACGCGTGCGCGCATCATCACGTTCATCCTTCATTGCAGAGTAAACGCCGAGCTCTCTCCCCTCATCTCCTCCTTGATGGGCCAACTCGGGTGGAATGTCGAGGCCACGCCAATCTGTTGAACCAGGGTCTTCTGCTAACGCTGCCGCTACCGCTACTGCTGCTGCTCCTGCTACCTCGTCCTCTTCCGTTTCCTGTTAGCAGCAGACACAGTCCATGATCTTTAGGATGGTGATGATCAATCATGGCGAGGGTAAGGATGAAGAGCAGTGTCAGTATGATGATGAAGCCGAGAATGATAACGGCGACAGCATTGATTATCCGACGACGACGATGATGATGATGATCATAATGAATTTCATGATGACAATGCTGGCAACGACGCTGACGGCGACGATGGTGATTATAATGAGAATCGTGACTCGCGATGCCAAATACACCCTTCACTTCGAGGCCTGCTGTCTTAACCCCAGTACATCTGGTGCTATAAATCTCCCAGTCTGCATTTCTCGAGGGTAAACAGAACTCTTTGTAGAGGACTCTCTGAACCTCTCACAGTGGTATGCCCTGGCAGTGGCCCAAGATGTGGTCAAGGGGCTCGCCTGCGTAGGTACAGCAGCCGAGTTCGCTTCAACCGGCTACAGCTACGAGGCCCCAGGGAGCACATGCTGTAGGAGTTGACACGACGCTCGCCGATTCGACAATATTTGAGTTTAGACGTTGAGGGGTGTGTGCTTTGGATGCTAGGGGTCAGTAGGTGCATAGATACTTGCGTTTAGGAGGTGATGGTTTACACCTGTCAGACTAGTCATTTACTGGACAATGACAACGTTGTACTCTAGGCCGAGCTGATGGATGCCTGAGACCACGGTTGCCGTGGCTGCTGTTTCTTGCTCGTGCTCCCGCTGTGGCCCATCTTGTTCGCTTATGATGCGCTAGAAGTTGTTTCAGCACTGCTGATCTCATAAATCTGATAGCTTGATATCTTGATCAGCATCTTAGTGGGTTTGTCGTATGACCGTGGCTCCATTACTTCGCACCTGCAAAGGAAGGAAGCCCGAACAGGCGCGCGGAAAGCTTAGAAGACTCCTCTCACTTTTCTGTCAGCATCACGACAAGCTGGTCAGGGGGCACATGGCTCATGGCCACCCGGACTTTTTGACCCCACAGGTTGCGTGCACATTATCGGGTGTTGCTTCCTAAACAAGCATTTCACAACCGGATTTGTTGAAAGTCTGCGACTTAGCCTACATCTCCCTTGGCTGGCGGTGTCGGCTGCAATGCGGACGAATGAGGTATAGACAGTGCTGCAAAGCTGAGCAGCTGTGATCCCGACGATTTTGTATTTTAGTTACTCACATAAGTGCATCAATGCAAAATGCTGCCTCATTCCCTGCTCGTACGGCAGCGACGTAGTGTAGTCGGCCTGTGTCACATTGGAAGTAATTAGCAAGCGCCGCCAACTGCTCCCTCAACTCTTGGAGTTTCTGGTGGGGGAATGAAAAGGACCGGAGCCGCTCAGGCAAGATCTCGCGTGTAAAGTGCTACTGTCCTTGGCCGAATTTTTCATTCGCCGGTAGTCGAGTTGCCCGAGTAGGCATTGCCATCCTACTTTTACGAAAGCAATCTGATGGTTCTTGTCGAGTCTTATGCACCGCTGGGCTTCTGGTCGTTCTTGTTGTTCCGACTCTGGTCTTCGGGTTTGCTTCTACTTAGCCTAGACTTGTTGCAGTCCGGGACACTTGTGTCAAGCCTCTGGTCTAGCCCTGCCCTGCCCTGCCCCTGCCGGGACGTGGCTCAGACGTAAAGGACCCCCAAAGGGGGGCCCCATGAGGGTGGGGGGCGTGGACAACGCCCGGGCCTTGAGGGATTGGCCCTTCAGGTTTCGGGCGCAGCTGCTCGAGTTTAGGATCCATTGAGCTCTTGACTTGGCTTGTGGGTTCTACCTCTTTCGCAAGCAGTCTAGGCTGCTGCAGTGTCCAAGGCCACTTGCCCTCCCAGATGTCGGAACTACTTCAGAACTGGCTGAACAACGAGGCGTGGTGTGCAGCTTTCCAGGTTACGTAGAGGGAGGTCAAGCTTTGCTGCTCAACATGGGCTTGAAGGGCTTCTGCACCTCAGCCCACGACCCGGTGACCCGATGCCCCCACTCACACCATCACCTGACTCTGACTGAATCCAAAAGCACGCTTGGCCCTTCCTCCGCTGTGCTGTAGTTGAGATCGGGTATCAACCCTATGGCCAAACAGCAAGGTCTTCAATCCGATGCCTGCTGCAAACGAGAAGATGAGCTCTGCACATTGTTCAGAACACTCATAAAGGCTGCCCGACAGAGCCATCTGTGTCTCTGTCTGTATATATATATATGTGTATATGTATATATGTATATGTGTATATATATATGTATATATATACACAACATACATACATACATACATACATACATACATACATACATACATACATATCTACATACCTACAAATCTATCTATCTATCTATCTATCTATCTATCTATATGTATATACATACACACACATACATAAATCTATCTATCTATCTGTCTGTCTGTCTGTCTGTCTGTCTATCTATCTATCTATCTATCTATATGTGCGCGTGTTTACGCGCCCCGGCAAATCAGCAAGATGCTTGTAACGATCCAATGCATCACGGCCATGCCCGTTGTCATAACCCGAGATGATGCCCAGCTGATGGCCATTGCTAGCGCGTGGTGGTGGCGGCGGTGGTGGTGGCGGTGGTGGTGGTGGAGGCGATCGCTCTCGGTACCGTAACCCCGGCCCGCATCACCCTCAAGTCAACCTGACCCCGTAGCCGCCGTGGCCAACGCCCGGCTCGAATGCTGGAAGCTTCTCCAAGGCCTCCCTCGTCCCACGCCTCATGCAACTGTGTCCAGGTCGGCCTGTCAACAAATGTCTCCAATTTCGAGAAGGCGCAATGTTGACGGCATCCTCGTTTGCATGGCGTTCAGAATCGTCGGAGCACATGGGTGGCCGAGAAGGTCAAGGCCCTCAACCACAAGCCCTGTAGGATGGTTCAAACTGAAGAGGGCCCCATTTCTTAGCAGCAGAATCATTGCAGAACAAGAATTGAGAACTGGGACTGGAACAGGATGTTTTTGGTGCTTGGAAGTCCAAACTGTGATGAGGGCAACTTCCTATGGATCATGTTCGAAAATGGGTGCATGCCAGCTAGCATCAAGAGAAGCAGGACGGTAATGTTTGGCACAGTATTCTTTGTGTCTTTGTGAAGGTTTGGGGCTTTTGAGAAACATGTGAAGGGTTCCGTAACAAAACTATGCTTTGCCAGCTTTCCGTGTAGGTGCAATCATCTGGGTATCGTGAAGGTTTTCTCGCCCGTGATGCTGTCAAAATCCTTGGTCAGCGGTCCTTCGCAAAGTGAACCCACACACAATCATTGCTATTGTGGTTGCTGTTGCTATGTCTGAAGATCATTGCTGCCGTCATATCCGTGGCCAGAGGCGATCCTGTTATTGTGTTCACAGGACTGGGTCGTCGCAAGCAATCGTTGCGCAAAGGATGTGCAGGGAACACGCCGCTCATACCATGAGGTTGTCTCAAAGGACGAGCTTCTTCAAATCCTTTCTTGTGAATCCGAAATCAATGTCAGAACGGGGTCATGACTTTGTCACAGCTTTTGTTAAGGCTTGAAGGCGCCCCCTTGCGGAAAAATAGTATGCCATAACGCTGGTAGACCTTTTGGAGTCTTGTTTGGGCATTGGTCCCCGGTTTCGAACCCCCCTCCCTCCACTCCGACGCGAACTCAGAAACCATGCTTGATGGCTCCTTGGTCCTAGGACTTCGCATCTGGCTACCTCTTCGGCGAGATCCTGCACAAGTTTTGGCAGGCCCGAGATCGACACCCTGAGCCCTGAGCAAAGCCCCGAGACATACTCCTAGCCTCGATTTAGGGTTTAGGGTTTGGGGTCTTCGGGTATTTTGTGGCGTGACCTTGAAGGCAGAAGGCAGAGATGCCAGAAAAGAAGTGGGATAGAATAAGGCAAACTCTGAGAACCCTATCTCCACCCAGATCCCGAACTGCGCGGCCCAGAGCATGAGCAGCTCCAAAGGTAACTCCGAACCCTGCGAATGCGAAAGCATCCCTGGAAAGGCAGATTCGGAGCAGTTTCAGAACAAGAGCCTTGCTTCGCACGATTAGAGGGGCTGTAGGCTCTTCGATAAACACACGAGGCACCTGTTTTGAGGCTAAGTCTTCAAGGTTCAAAGGTGAAGTGAGGGCTTTCTGGTTTCACTGTTGGGCTCGTTGGCGGCTTCTCGGACGTCTTTTTAGAATTGACGTCGCGTAGTTTGCAAGCTTCCGTTTGAGGATCTTCTTCGCTCAAGGCCTGTCCGTCAGCTGTACAGGAGCTTTGCTGTGGGGATACGGATCCGTGCCGTCAGACTTCGGCTTTGGCTTTTGAAACGCCAAGTTCCATTGCATCGACGGTTCAAAGGCTTCCAAGCCTTCAAGCCGTGCCCTAAACCTGAAAGGGAGAAGTTCATAAGTATTGAAGCCCTGAAGTCCTGTGCGCAGAACCCTCAGCCTGCATCCCCGAGTGTCCGAGCCCAGGAATTCACATCAAGCGAAAATCGCCAACTTTAAGACGCTGGAACCTATCCTGAAGGTGGGAACCTAGTCTCCTTTACAGACGGGGAGGGTCCCAGAGTTTCAAGTTTAAATCATTTTGAAGTGTTGGGTGGGTCAGGGTCGGATTGAGAGAAAGCAAGTTCAGTGCCTTGGCTGAGAGGGTTCGAAAAGGCGTTGGGTTCAAGGTTTAGGGTTTAGGGGTCTGTCAGATCATTGGGATCGCTGAAATGTCAGGAAGGGTGTTTCCATCGTGCAGCGAGGTATTCCTGAAGGCCGACAGCAACTTCCGGTCTGCTGCTAAAGCCGACTCCGCAGACTAGCCATGCATGGCTTTACCCCAAACCACAGAGCCACTAGCCAAAGCCCCTCGCACTTCTGAGCCGTTAGCCTAAGTCCTTCAGCGGAAGGCGTTGGGCATCAAGTGCAATGCCACGCTGATCAATGCAGCCTGCTGCCTCAGTGTCCTGCGAATTAGGTCATGGGGTGTAGGGGAGTGCTGACCTTCCACAAACCACGGACATAGACAGTGGCTCCAAGTGACCTAACTGCCCACTATCCCCCTACGAACTTGATCAGCTTCGGTTGGTCTTTTCGAAGCCCGAGAGGAGGACGTCGACGGCCTTGAATTCTTTACTTGGCGTGGGGCATTGAGAGCATGAGCATTTGGGCTCAAATTCTTCGAAGAGCGAAAGCCAGCCCAGCAATGACTTTCAAGCATCGTTCACATGAAGTGAATCTCAGGATTATTGTTGGCGACAGTGCTAGCTTCAAGGGAATCGACATCTGGAGCAGCCCCAACGGACTTGGCACAGGTGATGAATGGCGAGCGCGGAGCGGCGTTGAGGCATTGGCATAAGTTTTTTTTTGGTGGCACTCAGTGCGGCCTTATTGGTCATCTTGTGGTACATTTTGAAGAATGTCAGACAGCATTTGGCATACAGCGCCCTCTTGTTGGAGGCCGTCTGAGGGACAGGGCTTAGACGTATCTTAGTGACCTGGTGGTGAGGTTCATCTGGAATATTCCTTATTCCTACAGCTCCAGTGTAGATGAGCTGCATGAGCAAAACGCCAACGAAGATCGGCGGACTATCTGTCTGACTCGTCATGTGCCAAGGTTTCCAGGCCGCACAGAGCCTGACCTAGCTTTAGTTCTGAACCCCACGGCAGGCTCCTCTACCAGCTGAAAATGGCATCGGAGAGGAGCGGTTTTCAGGTTAAAGGTGCAGGGTTTCAGGGTGGAGGGGTGCGGAGAGGCGAAAAGATGGGCTTCCTACGAGAACTAGGTGCCTGGATGGAGCCGGAGGTGCTACTGTATGCGTAGTAGACTTACTTCCACCGGCTTGCATGGTTTGCGCTTCGGGGAACGTGCTGGGACGATGCGATAGGACAGTAGAGCCAACATTTCATGACGTTTTGTCCTTCCTACCGTTGAAATCTAAACTCTATCATGCCAAACCTGAACGACACAATCCCGACCTAGACACTAGTTATACTATGGAATTATGGAAGTCAATCACGCTAAACGACCTTCCAAGGCCTCGTTGCTGAATCCTGCAGACAGGTCTGGTATTCAACGAATGATTATCGCATTATAGGCTCACCTAGGTCTGGAGGGATCTCTCTTGTCGGCTTGACCATCATGATGGGAGTTCAAGCAAGCTGTGGGCTTGAATATCGGTCCAAATCAGTATGGCCCATGGTCCCTTAAAAAGCATGCACCAGCCAACTTTTTAAAAGATTGCTTTTGATCCTCTGACAGGAGCGAACGACCGATCCTGGCTCTGCAGGCATCGTCGCTGGAGACGCAGGTGCTTGGTTGGATGTCTGCGTTTTGTGTTCAGATGTCGGGCTTATCAGGGTGCTCGGGGCTTGAGTCAATTGGAGTTCTGTATAGTGTACAGAATCCTGAGATTCTCTGTGTCGTGGGTGTTAACCTGTTTGATGCTGTAACCGGTTGCTTCTGGTGCTTACGCCACTCATGCGAAGCCTGCAGGGCGAGGGTGTCGTGCGTGGACTTTCGGGTGATTATCATCATCATCATCATCACCATCATCATGATCATGATCCTCATCATCACCGTCACCGTCAGCATCAGCATCAGCATCAGCATCAGCATCACCATCGCCATCACCATCAGCATCAGCATCAGCATCAGCATCAGCATCAGCATCAGCATCAGCATCATCATCATCATCATCATGATCATCATCACCATCATCATAACGTCGGACCACCACCACCACCACCACCATCAGCATCACCATCGTTGCCCTCATCATTCGCACATTTTCCTGTCACCGGCATCATGATCAGCATCATGGTCGTCCCCCTAACCACTGTCAGCAGCATCATGACGGTCATGGACAGCCCCACAGTCGTGAGATCCTTCAGTGCTGCTAGACTAGCTGCTAGTCATCAAACTATCACCATTCATCATCATCGGCGTCACCATCACCAATATCATCATGATTAATGACATCATTCATATGCTTCTTCTGCTTCTTGTACGTCTTCTGCATTCGTCATGATCGCCGCATATTGGTCGTCAGGAGACTGAGGTCCCAACCAAGCCCCCAAAGAGAGCCGGAGATCAGACCCGAAGCTCTGAAGGCCAGCGCCGGCTGGCCGGGCGCCTCCACCAAGGTGGCTAAGGGGAGGGTTCGGCTTTCAGGCTTTCAGGTTCAGATCATATTTGCTGCTGCTGCTGCTGGCTACGGCCATCATTCTGTGCTTGGCCTCTGTTCGTCTTGATCTTTCCAACGGCAGTTGGTCATGGTTGCTATCATGGCACGGATCCTATTCACACGGTTCTCACGATTGCCTTGAATACAATGTTGGCGCTGGTGCTCAAAGTCTTCGGTGTTTTGAACCTTTCATTGAGATCTAGTGAAGCTCCAGGTGAACCTCAGGGTTTCCTCAAGGCACAAACACAATCGCTGTCGCATTGCTCTCTGAGCTCATTCAGAGAGTCGTGGGTTTAGGGCTGGGATGCCGGGCCGGGTTTCCTGGCAGGTAAGACAAGCCCGCATGGAGAAGCTGACCCGGAAGTTCGAGTTGGAGAAGTTCCGTGCTCAGTTGGAGGTGCTGTCTACACAGCAATCCGAATCGATGCAGCTTGCAGGTGTTATCCGAACTCTCTAGGACTGAGAGGAATCCTGAGTGCCCCCCCAAGCCCAAACCCCAGGCGTCACGTGCTGAACTACTTGAGCATGTGTATGGTCGTGGCTCTGACTGTTGCTGCCATCTGTTTTTGCTGTTCTGTTCTTGTAGTTTTTGTTGTGTGATAGCTGTTTGAGCCGTGAGCACTGCTGTCTTGCATGTTCGCTCTGAAAGCTTAATGCTCATGGGGTATCCCGGTATGCCTTGGGTCCTGAACTAGCGGCCCGGCCCCTACATCTCTCGAGGCACAAGCAAGAGATTGTGGCTTACGAAATGGACGTCATCGAGCAGGCGCGAACGACACTCGTGAGACGGAGCCTAGAAATGCTCCGGAAGGTAGGGGTTCTCGGATGAGATAGGGTGTAGACGTCGAACTCCCTTCAGGCTTTTGTGCGACTTGCTATCTCCGTAGTCGAGCCAGCAGGAGCTCTGCTCATGCTCTTGCCCGGACTTGTAGGCGCTTCACGCCCCTACACCCGAAGCCGGAGCTTGAAGAGGCCCACGTGGAGGAGCAGCGCCAGATCCACCGCTTCAGCTTGCGCGAGCGGCTGCGACAGAACCGGGCGGGGTACTTTGATTGTGAGATTTAGCGGTTGCCTCGGTTTTCGAGCTGACTTCTATGCAGCAGCGTGGCTGTAGGACTATGTGTCCGTCTCATGACAGCCATCTAGTTTTTGGGACTCCATTGCCGATGGGGCGTGAACCCACCCACCTCTGAGGTTTTGAAGTTCAGAACATTCGGCTTACAGATGGTGGCAGTCCTGGAGTTTGAGCTTTGGACGTTGCAGGATTTGATCGTAGAGCTCTTCCAGGTTAAATTTCAATCCAATGCTCATGAAGGTCCTACATAAAGGAGTGTTTCTATTGTTTACTTGGACTGGTGCCAAACTTGGCACTGGAATGCTGATGCCATGGAGCCATTCATTCTTGCAAGGCGTTTTTGTTGCAGTCCTAAGTCCTAAGCTCAACATATCAACACCCATTTCCGGAGTCCACGGGTCGAGCCAAACCCTCGACAGTTCGCCAAACCCCGGTAAGCCCCACGCTTCAAGCTTTCTCTTCAGTGATGGTGATGGTGAGGTAATCAGGTCTGTCGAGGCAGGAGACCGGTGCCAGGCTGCCAAGGACGAGTGGGAGGCTCGAGGGCAGGAGCTCTGGCAGGAGAACATGAAGGCCGTCGTGTCGCTTCTTGGATCTGTAGACTCAGCTAGCTTTGCTTCCATTTGCACCTGCATGGCAGTTCTGCAGCTTCATAAATCCGTTTCCGAATCCGAGGTTCTCAATCCTTAATAAGGCTATGCCAGTTAGTGCACGAGATCTGTGGCAAGATTTCATGCGAGATCTCTCTGTCTCCACGTTTGCCAAATTTTCCTCTAAGCTCCGAGAAGCTATCTGTAATGTATGCTTACTGTGAAAGAAGGTGCTGTTGTCTACTTCCATCTGAGTACAGGTACAAAGCATGAGCTCGTATCCCGTAGACATGCAGCAGATATGAGCAGTCTTTTTCTCTGCAAGTGATGGGGCTGCATAGCCCATGTACAGACGCGAACATAGCCCTTGTTCATGCGAAACTTCAGAAGCCCTGTGGCATGTGCAGGTGCGCATGGCCAGGGAGAGTGCAGAGGCCCGGTTCAACGAGGTCGTTTTCAAGAAGCAGAAGGCGTGGTGGAGGGGGGGTCTCGGTTTCATGCCGAAGGGCCGAGGATTTCCGTGTTTACTGGGCTTTGACGGGTCAGTGCCTTGCTCACCAAAGACTACCCACTCAACTCCGAAACCCCCTCCGAACTGATGCAGATTGTCCCAAGCGAGCCTCAGCCTCGGCCCAGGAGAAGGACCGGCAGACGCGTTCCTTAGCCACCTCGGAGGTCCTCCAAGGTACGAAGGCGAGGGGCAAGGGACTTTTGGAGACAGGAGCATGCTCGACGCTCGGCTTCATGCGCAGAGGCTAAGCGGTTGTGTCTACATCTGGGGCCCCGGGCGCTTTGAGTGTGGCTCTCCGCAGTTTGCGATTAGGAAGGAAGAGAGCAGAGAAGACCAAAAGCTTTCGAGTTTTTTTAGGATCTCCGCCTTGGCTCTCTTCGGGTGTTGAGCCTCAGCTGCTTGAGCTTGTAACGGTTGTGAAACCGGGTTTCGACTGTAGCTCCAGCAGCACCCTGTGGCGACCTACCTCCTATCCGGTCCTAGCCTTCATGTGGCCAGCGGGCCCGGACTGAAATTCTCTTAAACCAACCGCAGTCCTACAAGCCCAAGATATGGATCTGTGTTTCGAGTACCATCTGTGCTTGAGAAACGTTTGTGCACCGGCCGGCGGCGGTCTGTTGAGGTGAAGATGGCTGTACAGCTTGTAGGCTTTTCGCGGTGCTTCGAGCCGTATCATGCGCCAGGACTTCGAAACCGGCTTGATCAGCTTGGGGCTCTCGCGGAAGCTGGAGGCCACCTCCACTGCTGTCGCGTTCGGCGTCCACTCCCCTGCGGCCCGTGCCCTTTGGTTGGCTCAGACTGCGTGGAGTGGAACTTCGGCAAGCAGTGTTGAACCTGCCGGAGCCGCTTCACACTAATCCTGGAGGTCGATCAGCATCAGAACAAGTAATACCAGCAGTACCACCGGTCAGAAACAGAGCAAGTCTGAGCGAGACAATTCTTCCTTTCTTTCTGTATGGTCATTGAATCTGGTTGACAGTCACACACAGAGTATCAACAACATGGACTTCGACGACCACGACATCACGGTTGTCACTGCTACTGCCAATACTACTACGACTGGCACTAGCACGAGTGCTAGCCAACATTGGCACCACTACCACTACAACCACTACCACTATAACCACCATCACGCCATCCACGACGACTACTACAACGGCACCAGCAGCCGCCGTTACCACCACCACAACAGCAGCAGCGGCGGCAGCGGCGGCAGCAGCAGAGCAGCAGCACCACCACCAAGAAACAACAACAAGCAACCACAAACATCGCCAGACAACAACAAACAACGCCAAACAACACCAAGCAACAACAAACAACACCAAATCGCCCTAAACACCAACAGACAGTAGCAAGCACCAACAGACAACAACAAACCACACCAAATAAGACCAAACAACAAGAAAAACACAGCAATAAGCAACACCAAGTCACACCAACAATAACACACAACAACAGACAGCGTCAAAAAATAACAGGCAATAACAAACAACAAGGGACAACATCACACGACACATACAACAGCTAACTATAGCATGCAACAACGACCGACAACTAACAGCAGCAAACAACTACAAACAACCACAAACAACAACCACCACAAACAACACCAAACAACAACCAACAACAACACACAACGCAACACAACAACCAACCACAACAATTTGCAATTGAAGGGTGCGCGAGCGGACTCCACGCTTGGCGGGCAATTACCGCACTGGCACTCAGTCGTGAAACCGATGTTGGATCGCGGTTAGAAAGCACGACTTATTGTCTCAGTATTGCTGCTTCTACGGCTACCGCTCTTTGTGGACCGATCCACGCTGTGCTGCCCCGTACTGTTTTCAGCCGACGAGCACATGAGGCTCTCTCTCATCTCTACCGAGCCGTAGCACATGAGAGGTTCGAGAGACCTCCACACAGCAGGACCACGGTCTGAGCGCGGAGCGAGTGTCCGGCAAGCACCTGTCAAGTCGAGTGTCGGCTGTCCGGTACAGGCAGGACTGTTGCGAGCAAGCGGTACTGCTTTGCACAGAACAGGACGGTGCTTACGGCGGCCTGTTCCTTTGCGCAACTCATGCTGAGTCAGTAGGCCGAACCATCAACGGACTAATGGCCGGCCAGAGGCCCCGCGGCAGGAGCTGTCAGTATTTCTAGTTCCACACAAGTTATTGTGACTGGTTGGTGAGCCAGAGGTGCCGTTGGGCTGCCCTGCAGTGTACAAAACACAGATACAAGGCTTGAGACGGCTTTGTCGGCTGAAGCTGCAATTTTTGACCGCAACAGTTGTGCAGAAAATTGACACGGCGGAGCACGAGGGGAAGCTTAGTCGAGCGCGCTTGAGCTCGGCCTTGCGAAGCAGTAAAAAAAGTGCAGCTATAGGGCTCAGGACGGCCCGCGGAGCTGAACAGGCCGGTTTCGGACCCAACTGTTGCAAAAAAAAGAGCACATAACCACCCCAACAATTCTCTAGTCGTGCCTGCAAGACCCTTAGCTTTAGCGTCAGGCTTCAGTATACCGAGGGGGCGCAGCTGAGACGGCTTGTGTTTTGCCAGTGTTGCTGGGCTTAGGGTTGGGAAGAAGCCTGAATCAGTAGCCAGTCGCGGGTGTGCAGCGAAAACGGTCGAGGCGTATTTCCGCAGCTCCTGCAGTTCGCCCTGTGGGCTCAGAAGATATCCCGCAAATCCTTAAGTTGAGCTTTGCAGGAGGGTTGCTAGGGGCGCAGCTGTTTCAGCACTTATAGGCGATGTACTGATCTCCGGCTAGGAACTTGTGCGCTCGTGCCTGGCGAGCTTGTTTGACTGCCTGTCTGTGCTGCGCCTGCTAAGGCTCAAGGGTGAGCTGCTCATCCGCTGAGGCGCCGGCCGGCAGTCTCTTGCTCCGCCACATGCTCTGGCCAAGGCTGTGTCAGGCTCCTCCGGCTTTGGCTTCGGTTGTTTGGGAAAAAAGCGTTGCGTGGCTCGTGAAAGCAACGCGTCCCAGTCTGCGGGGGACATGTCCCTTGTGATTTGGTCTCTGACCCAGTGCTGCGTGGTCGTGGCCTCCGACGAGCCTGCGCGGACAGCTGCTGGGCACGGCTTTGCCAGGCTTATAATGGAGTGAATATGCAAGGCCAGGTCCGCTGATCTTCGTGTTGGTAGGGGGCCACAAGCTGACGAGCAAGGGGATCGTGAGCCGCAAAAATGCCCCTCGGCATATTGACGCAGCTCGGTGAGCTCGTCTGCTGGGGACACTATGTGTCCGGTGTCACTCTTGAGCTGAGCGCGGCGGGCTGGTCGCCATGGGCGGAGGAGCTGCGAGGTTTTGAAAGCCACATGCTGGTCTCCTTCCGCCAGGGCCTGATCGACCTGAGACAGAAACTGTCGCACTCGGTCCTTCTGAGCTTGTTTGGCTGCTTGCTGATGGTGCAGTTCCTGTATCTGCGACGCTTCCAGTGTCCCCTGAGTCTCCACCACTGGAGCCGGCTGTGCCGTGGGATAAGATGGCGGCTGTGCCGTGGATTCCGAAACTATTGGGTGGGTCGCAGAGTTTTGGGATAAAAAAGCTGGACCGCCTGCTTAGGCAAGGAGTCCCATGCCGCGGGGTCCTGGCAGTTGCCTATGCGCTCACGGACCCATTGCCGCATGGCTTGCGAGGTGGCATCAGCCGATCAGCAGCGTGCTGAAGAAGAGAAGCCCATTGTTGCTGCCCCAAATGGCCAGCGTTCCATGACATGACACGAATCTTCCTGCTCTGCTGTCCTGCTCGCCTTGTTCTCGGCGCGGGCGTCGACTGGCCACGCTGTCCTGCCGGCGGACAATTTCCTGTGCGGCGGAGAAGTTGTGGGGTCAGAGGCTGTCCACGGTACGACACGGGAGATTTCTGCTGAATAACTCTCCTGCATGCTCTCTTGAACGAATTCTTGCGCAGAGTCGGAAAGTTCTGCGAGTGTACTGGTAGCAACGCCATCCACTGTTTTCGCCACCGAAGTAGCTCCTTCCACTGCGCGGTAAGTGGAAACCTGACCGCCTCCCCCATACAGCAATATCTTAAACAAAGGACAGGGGCCGGGAATTGGGACCGGGCAGACCAGACGCTCAGCAAAAAAGGAGGCACATGGCTCAGAGGGGCACAACTTCTTACGTAACCCTGGGGGCCGGGTTAGGACCTCTAGAGAAGAAAGTTGCGCCCAAAGCTCTTTCGAAAGCCTCTAGCTGCGCGGCCGCCTGGTCCGTGGAGGCTCCACCACCACCCTCACCACCAACAACAACAACACCAGCAGCAGCAGCAGCAACAAGAACAACAACAACAAGAAAACCACCAAGAGCAACAACACCAACATTCGCAACACCAGCAACAACACCAGCAACAACACCAGCAGCAACAACAGCAGCAACAACAATGACAACAGCGACAATAGCAGCAACAACAGCAGCAGCAGCAGCAGCTGCTGCAGCCGCCACAACCACAACAACAGCAACAGCATCAGTAGCAACAACAACAACAGCGACAACAACAACAACAACCACCACAACCACGACGACACGACAGGACACGACACGGCACGACACGACACGATACGACACGACACGACACAACAAGAACAAGAACAAGAGCAAGAACAATAACAAGAACAAGAACAAGAGCAAAAGCAAGAACAAGAACAATAACAATAACAAGAACAATAACAATAACAATAACAATAACAATAACAAGAAGAACAAGAACCATAACAAGAAGAAGAACAACAAGAACAACAAGAACAATAAGAAGAATAACAACAACAACAACAACAGCAACAGCAACAGCAGCAACAGCAACAGCAACAGCAACAGCAACAACAACACAAAGAACAGCAATAATAATGACTAGTCTGTTGCTGATCTCATCCTATATAGCAGCAAGAACAGT